AAGTGCAAGCACCAGTACAAGTGCAAGTACAAGAAAAAGTACTAGTAAAAGTGCAAGTCGACGTTCACGTTCTACAAGTAATATAAATAATCTATACCTCATTCAACTAGATTATAATGAGAATAAGAAAATAGAAGATAGCAGTCGAACTCTCTTACATTTAAAATGACTTGAGAGAAATAACGAACTTTTGAATATTCTGGTTCGTCTGTTGTGAAAGTATCTTTATGAAAGAACGAGTGAAATTAATTTGTTCTGAAGTAAATTCTGACTCTGTTATAAAAGTTTTACATGAAAATATATTCGTTTAATCAAATATAAAATATTAGAACAATAACACTATACATGTAAAACTCGTAACGAACCAACGATTTATACACTACGGATCATTTCTAGATGAAGTACTATATAAACTGTGAAACAGAATTAAAAGAACTTCGTTTTAATATGATGAATTTTTTAAATATTTATCAAAACAAAAATATCGTAAAAGGAAGATTTGAATATTACATATGATGAGAACTATGTTGTTAATAAACTAGATAATTGAATGGAACACCTAAACTCTATCCCATTTTTCACTGCTCAGTTTTTTCTTGAATTGTCTTTTATGAAAAGAAATTCTATGTGTTTTTTTTCTACACAGCCGATCGTAAACTTGTATCAACTACTGATCATATGAAAAGTGATACTTACGTCATTCATGAGAGACGCGAACATATTCCTCTCCACTGGAACAAGCATGATAAGGTGGCTGATAATTTTATTCTTCCTATGCGCATTGGTCTTGTTCAGCAGAACATAGAAAATATCGAAGAGGAACTTATGAAGGTGTCAGATCCAACTTCACCTAACTATGGTCGTCACTTGACTCTAGCACAAGTTGCTGACATGTTTGCTCCCAAACAAGAAACTATTGATTGCGTTCGACAATGGCTTGAAAATTTTGGTATTAAACCTGATCAGATTAATCTTAGTGGAAGCAATGGTTGGTTGCATTTCAATATTACAGTTAGGGATGCTGAGCGACTTTTGAAGACCAAGTATTATCGCTATAAACACAAGAGTGGAAAATATCATATCGCTACTGAAGAGTACAGTGTTCCATCTTTGATTCAAAAATGCATCGACCTCATTACTCCTACACTTCACTTTGACGTCAAAGTTCCAAAGAATCCAGCAACAAGAGATAATTTGAACAGCAATTTTCAACAAGACATTCTCGATATTGGTCTTAACCATGCTCTACCGACAAAGGACATCGTTGAAGAGCTTCCTAATGCACTCACAACGCCGCTTGCGACTGGACCGTGCAATCAGGTAATTACTCCAATGTGTTTACAAGCTCTTTACAATACTACGAACTACCCACAGAAAGCAAGTAGTCGTAATAGCTATGCCGTCGTTGAATACACGCCCCAGACGTATGTTCAATCGGATCTGAATACGTTTTTCACTAAACTAAACATGAGCATGACGGGTGTTACACCAATTATTAAAAATATTGATAATAGTGGTATTAAGCAAACGTCCACTGGAACCTTCAATACAAACGCAGAAAGTAACCTTGATTTGCAATATGCTATCAGTTTGGTATATCCTACTAACGTTACCCTGTATCAAACTGGAGATCCTACTGAATCAGCTTCTTTCAACAACATGTTGGATGCTCTCGACGCGTCATATTGCACAAATGGGACCGGAGATAATCCTATTTACGATGCCACCTATCCTGATCCTTATAGGGGGACTGGATCTTATAAAAAAAAGGACTGCGGAATATACAAAGCGACTTATGTCATATCTACATCATATGGAAGCAATGAGGCCGATCTTACTCCCGCATACGAAATACGTCAATGTAACGAATATGCAAAACTCGGTATGATGGGTGTCACGATATTGTATTCTTCAGGTGATACTGGCGTTGCTGGTAATGGTGGACTTTGCATAGCAAAAGATGGAACCCAAAGTACAAAGTCTTCTGCTATCAGATTCAATCCTACGTTCCCTGGAACATGTCCTTATGTCACTTCCGTCGGTGCGACTCAGATCAACCCTAACTCGACTGTCAATGACCCCGAATCTGCATGCCAGCAAGTGATCTACTCTGGCGGAGGTTTTAGCAATGTTTTTCCGTTACCAGCTTACCAAAATACCACCACACAGAACTACTTCTCCAATCATAAACCAAACTATAATTCTTCGCAATATAATAATTCGCAGACCACTCGTGGATATCCTGATATTTCGGCTAACGGTGCTAACTATTACGTCGTCATAGGATCAACTGCGACAAAAGTTTATGGTACTTCTGCATCTTGTCCTGTGGTAGGAGCCATTATAACTCTAATCAATGATGGTCGTTTGGCTGCCAATAAAACAACAGTAGGATTCATAAACCCTGTTATTTATCAAAACAGCAATGCTTTGAATGATATTATTTCGGGAAATAATCCAGGATGCGGAACACAAGGTTTCACAGCAGTCAGTGGATGGGATCCTGTTACTGGACTTGGAACTCCTAACTTTCCGAAACTCTTGGCATTATTCTTAAGCTTGCCTTAAAAACGATCTCTCCTCTCTACTATGACATTAATCGATACAATAAATGTTAAGAGAATAATCACACCACTACATTCCCATTCTACACAGTACATTATTTTCTTCTTTCTTACACACATCCCTTTTACTTAACATATATGTAATTCTTTTTTTTTGCTTTCTATATTATTTTTATCCTTTATTATTCTTTGCCAAAATAAATCTAAAAGAATCGACAAAACAACAAAAGAATGAGATTAAAGAGAACTAGAAAAAGTAGGTCGTATTTGCACAATGTGACGATAAAGATATTATAAAAAAGAAATTGGTGTGTGTGAATGAAAATAATAGTTAAAGCTAACATACTTATTCACAACCTCATCGGGATATTATCTCTTTGATTTGACTTCTTCGTTATGAAGGTATCAGTATGATTCTCCACATGAATGATTTATTTTTTATTCTATGTAACAAATCTATATGTTATAAATGATAAACAAAATTATGTATATAAGTTTTTAATAAAAATATTGTATTTAATCTCTTATTCGATGATGATAAAAAAATGTTGAATACGGTCGCTTTTATTTTTTACCTCGTTGACTTGGATGAGGATAAATAGTTAAATTTTATTTCTTAGCTAATAAACTAAGTATAGATTGATTATGACGATTTTCTCTACAACCATCATAATTTTTCATATTAAAAATATTTTTATCATCAGTTATTATTCGATTATCTTATGCATAAGTTAACCATTCTGATACAAATGTCATACTCATTAAACTTTTTCGTAATATAACATCAGAAGCAATACCAGCTGATGAATTATAATAGAATGGTTCGTCAACATTCATAGTTATAGATGCATCTCGTTTTGTCCAAATATATTTCTATAATATACGTCAATAATGTATTTTAGAATTTCCAAGATATATAGTATATACCTTTGAAGTATGTTTGAATGTAATCACATCTTGATATTTAGTTAATTCAATAAGAGGTTGAATATTTCGAATAAAATTAACAGTTGTATCAGAATAAATAATAATATCAGCGTCTCAAGCAAGATAAAGTTCTTTAAGTATTATATATATGGTTTTCAAAGCCAATAACATTTTTATACACTGACGAATACCCATTTACTAATTCTGTATAACAATTTCGTTGTTGTGATCGTTGAGAAGATTTATGAGTGAAATTAATTAATAGAGGATAACTTCGTTGTATATTAGTTGATGAACCATTTGAATTTATTATTATATCGATAAAAATAAAATAATAATAAATATAAATAGGAACAATGTATTATAACTAATTTTGGAATATAACAAATAGAAAATTGGTTAACTTTTTGCGAAATAAGAAGCATCTAATAGTAGTTTAAAATAAATCGATGATAGTTAGCATAGAATAATCAATACATTTTTCTTATTCAGCTAAAAAGTAATAAAATGCATTTTTAATCATTCCAATGTCATCAAAATTAGATATAATCAACTTGTCCAGTACAAGAACTTATTGAAGAATATTCTCAAGGTCAACATCTAAGAAAACTTTATCAGCAGTAAGTTATTAGTAGATTTAGTATTGATGATTGATCATATTGATTTTGGTCCAGTATTTAATGCAGCAACTATAGTAAGATGGAATTAAAATATTTTTATATTTATATTTTTGTATTCCAATGAATGGATGATAGATACTTCTTTTTATTACATATTCTATCATTTTTCATTGAAATCTATTTATACGAACATACAGTTAAAACAACCAAACAAAGTGATATGTTTAATAAACATAAAAATATGAATCAAATATAATATGTTCTGATGATACACATGTGCTAAAGATTGAATTCGAAGTGTACAATCAAAACTTGATGGAATTAATTCAGCAATTATTATTAGGTATATACCAATAAGAAAAAAATAAACATGTTTCTCATACGTGTATTATTATTTATTGTAGTTCTGATCTTCGATTAAATAATTTTCGTTACCGTTCAACTTTGAAAGAAGCACTTTTTTATATGCAAAACGTGGTGGGTGTTGATCCGTTATGAGTTATCTTAGAAACATTTATATAATTTTATTTTTTGAAATCGAAAATCTTTATTTTAACAAAATAGTATTTTTCTCTCGGTGCAAATAGTTCTATTAGAAATTTCTTATGCGTTCAGTGATATGATTTTATACTTTTTGTTTATCAAATATGTTCTGTTTTCAAATAACTTAAATAAACATCATCTCCCGTGCCAGTCGCAGTTTAAATATCTTTTAGAACATTAGATAAGATACTTTTTGTATATATATTTCAACAAAAGATGTTCATAATTGCAGTAACTTATGTTCTTAGCAGATGTGAAGATAACATACAATAATTAAATATCTGTATTATTTATAAACCTTACCATGATTATCGTACATTTACATGTTTTATTATTTTAGTTTATGTTGTACAAACTCGGCAACTTTTAAGTAAAACAAATAATGAAGTATACAGTTAATAAAATATGTTTAATTTTTATTTATTTTTTTTTGAAAAGTTGCTCTGGCAGATCAGTGTTACCACTAGTCCGC